TTTCTCCAACCCCCCAGCGCCCCCCCCCCCCCCCATACTCCTGCATATTAAAAGGTAAGAGTTCACCTTAAAAATACCCGATAGGTCACACTCTTTTACCCTAGGTGGATTAGCAGTTACAGCCAAAACCATTAGCAAAGGAAGAATGACTGAAAGAACAGTAGCGCTATATTAAGTTCTATAGTCTTTAGAGAGCAGCTGTGATTCCTGACCAGGGTCCTTGAAACTTTTCTTAAAGTGATCCTAAAGTCAAAAGGATTTTAGGCTATTTCAAATGCTGATGAAATCACTTACAATGGATGCTGCTTCTTGATGTTTAAAAGTTTTAGTTTCCTGCAGAATCAGCTGGTCTCCTGACCACTGGCCTAGACATCCTGTTTTAGAGTGGCTCCTTTCTCAAGCAGAAGGCATTGCAGTCACCCTTGTGTGTGCTAGTGAGCTGTGTGCGTCTCCACAAACACAAAGACACAGCAAATCAAGCTACCCCCCAGAAACATGATGATTGTAAGTATTTGGGCAAAAAAGTAAAGCAATGCCTTGCTGGGAAATTTATATTTGTCTGATCTCGATACATTGCTGAAAAACGTTTCAAAGTTTAATGCTACTTTAAATCTATTAAAGGGCATTTTGACTGAAAATAGGAATCCACCTTCTGCCCACTTGGTGCAAAATGCCTTAGGAGGACGTATTGCCAATCAGGAGTTTCAGGCAAAGTCATCAAGCATCTCAATGGATGCCCCCACATGAAGCTGCTTGGCTTTTACCAACCTGAAGCAGTTTGGCCACATAAATCTTTGTGCCCTACAGAATAGCTAAATACATACAGGTGAAACTCGAATAATTAGAATATCGTGCAAAAGTAATTGCAGTAAGTGCTGCAAAAGGGGCCCAAACCAAGTACTGAGTACATATGCATGCTTGTACTTTTCAGAGGTCCGATATTGTTCTATGTACAATCCTTGTTTTATTGATTCCATGTAATAATCTACTTTTTTGAGGTGTGGATTTGGGGTTTTCATGAGCTGTAAGCCATAATCATCACAATTATGACAAATCACGGCTTGAATTATCTTGTTTTGCATGTAATGAGTCTATCTCATATATTAGTTTCACCTTTTAAGTTGCATTAGTGAAATAAATGAACTTTGCACGATATTCTAATTATTCGAGTTTCACCTGTACATAGTACCAAACCAGTCATCTGGAAAATGTTTAAAAACAAAATGTTTCTGATGTCAGGCTGCAGTTCCAAAGAACCGTCAAGTACTAATTCTATTTAAATATACATATATTTTCATTATAATTCTATAAAAAAGTATAACTTTCTATGAAAGCATCTTTCTGTTTATCAAATACGTATCCTCCTAATTGCCAGAAATCTGGAGAAATTAACTTTTTTACTGCACTACATCTTTCCATTGCTTGGATACATGCAAGCTGTACAGTAAATCAGAAATTTAGGTGAGAGCCGAGGGGGTGCAGACAAAATTTCAGGGTACTGTGCGGCATACGAGCTCCTGTCCCATTGAAAGGAAAGTATTACATTGGTACAAAGTACTTGTACTCATGCAAATCCTCCGATACTTCAGCCGCATCCACCGCTTCCAGCCACAACCGTCACCTCCAGGGACACAGAACTGCCGACTCCAGGGACACGGAACTGCTGCTGACAGGGAATAGCCAGAGCCGCAAACGCTGCCTCCTTGGGGGAGTCCTCAGCCTTCACTTTGGGGTGGTGATAGTCATTCCAATCAGCGGGCAGAGAGACACCGGTGAGGGCTGCATAATGGGGAGTGCCTGAAGGAGTCGGAGATGGTGTTCTATCAGTCCATCTGACTTCTGGGGGTGTGTCCGCGGGCATGTAAAAGGCTCGGCCCTTCGCGAAAGCGCACTGTGGCAACGGGTCCAAACATTTCACGGACCAATTCAGCATATCAGCGACTCCAGGGCTTGGCCGTCCACGCAAGCGATTCATGTCCATAAATCTCACGGACTAACGCTTCTGATTGATAGAACAACGGCAGGTAAGATTACCTGGCAGCGGGCCACATAGTATTCAAAATATAAATAATAATTATATATATTTTATGACAAATAATTATATCTATGTATACCAAACCAGCTATGAATCCCCACAACACTTAGGGTAAGGAGGGAATCAAGGAAGTGAAGGAACCCATAGTGTTACACTTGCAAGTTGCAATATTAATTGCTGCTGGAATTAGTCCTAAAATTCCTCACCTCCTTGGGTTCTTCTACTAGGCAGAGCATTTTTCTAATTATTTAACTGTCTTGGTGGACCAAGGATGACCCCCTTTTTAGAGTCACTGACCAAGGACTAGGAGCAGTTGGCTGGAGACAGGGAGCCACATGGCCAAGGTATGTGATGGTATACTGTAGGAGCTGATGCCTAATGTATGGGGTCACTAGTACCAATGCTGGAGGAGTGGTGTAACTATGGGCACTGAGAATGCGAATATATGGGATGTGTCCTCCATATGAAAGACTATAAATCCAACCGTGAATGCAGTGCAGGCTTCTATGCAGAGGTGGTCCACCACATACACAACTGTGACATGACGTGTGTATTTTCTTATTATTAATATATTTTATGTTAATACTGAATTATTTTATTAACAGGTTGTGATAAATTTCTGTGAGTTGGTACAGCTTTCTGACAACTTAAGCAAAGTAAACTGTTCTATTTTTTCACAGTCATGTCTTGTAAGTTACAGTTCTTCAAAATTATTACGAAACTGCCCTAAAATCATTAGACTGTATTGTTTTAGAAATAATATGTCACCTGTACCTTTAAGAAAAAGTATTGGTAATTGGTATTGGCAAGTACTTTAAAAAAAAAAAAAAGTATCGGTGCATCCTTACTGGTAACGTACATCCATCATTCCGATATGAGGCACTAATAGGTTCAAGAGCACAGTTATATTCATGTGACATCTGTAATTGTGTGAGTGAACCACTAGAAGGCATGCAGAGGTGATCCTGGCAGTTTGCTTAATTAACTCACTTAGTAGCAGTCTAGTGCTATTAATGGTAAAGTTTCTCACATGCGACATGCACTGTATTGTGTGCAATATATAAATTATATATTTATTATGATAGGACAAAATTAGGTTTCTTTAATTGAATATTTATGGTTTAGGTAGTTTCCATCCAAAGTAGGCTAGATCTCTTGTGGGAGGTGCCATTGTTGGCCTGAAACATGCTAGCCACTTGGCTCGCACTGGGATTAACGTTTCAGAGTCACCGAACAAAAATAAGCAAGTTGCAAATAAACAAATGTTCCTTCATTTATATATTTGTTCCAGGTCAGTAACCTAAAAAGTACTGGAGCCAAAGCATCAGCCCTGCCAGCATGACACCTAGCATTCTCAGAAGAAGATGCCAGCTCTCATGCAAGTTCTTCTTTATAGGACTAGGTCCTCATGTCATATCAGCCCTCTCTCCCACACATGCAGGTTTAAAGTGACACTAAACTCAGGAGTTAAATCTTAAAAATGTATTCAAGTATCCTAAAAGGAGAACTATGAGGTGAGTGCTTTTCACTCACCGGCTCAGTAGATCGGGAGCTGAGCGAACACATACCGGCGTTCGCTCACCTCTCGATCCTGCTACAGCTCTCTGCTGTGACAGGGGAGTGGCTAGATTCACCCCTCCTCCAGCGCTGACTGGCGGATCGGATGGGGGAGGGTACAGGTGGCTCTGCCTCTAGATAGGCAGAGCCAGCTGTCACTCACGCAGCTGGGCGGATCCAGACATAATTGCCGGGATCCGCTTCAGCTGCGGCGTCTCAGTATACCACGAGCTGTAGCTCGCGGTATACTGAGCTTAGGGTGACGGGAGGACGCTAGTTTGTGTCCTCCAGTTACCCTAAGGAGAACTATGGGGAAAAGCCTTAACCCCATCGTTCTCCTTTAACTATTACCAAAAATGTATCTTATTTGTGTATCACTCGGCTGTAGATCCTCAAATCATCTCTGACTTGGAGCTGACACTGTCCTTCCTTCTGGAGGGTGGCTACTTTTCTTCCCCATGGTCCCTGTGTGTGCGCTGTAAAGTAGCCACTACTCCAAGCTCCCTACCATGATAGACTACAATCTCACATTTGCTTCACAAATTAGTATTGAGATTGTAGTCCATCACAGGAGTTATCTTGGCTACTTTACAACACACACAAGGACCATGGGGAACAAAAGTATCCACCCTCTAGAAGGAAGGACAGTGTCGGCATGAATTCAGAGATGATTTGACGATCTACAGCTGAGTGATACACAAATAGGATACATTTTTGGTAATAGTTAAAGGTACTTGAATGCATTTTTAAGATTTAACTCCTGAGTTTAGTGTCACTTTAACCTGTTGGGAAACATCATATGGTGGCCAGCCATGCATGCATAACCTAGTTGACAAAAATTGTTTATGCCTATGCATGCATAACCTGTGCAAAATTGTTTATGCCTATGGAAGAGGGAGCGGAAGTGATGTGGGCCTTGGTTGTCTCTGGCCAAGCAGCTATCTCCCAAAAAAGCTCTGCCAAAGAGGGTCAACAATGGTGGTCAACAAATGCATGCACCTGGGTTCTCTACTGAACTATGTTTATTAGGTGGCTGGAGGTTCCATTTACGATTATAATTGAGATCAGTTAATTATACATTTTATCTGTACATTTTTATTGTGTCGTATATATTTTGTGAATTTACTGTATGTTAACTATTAGGTTTTTTTAAAAGGTTACCATGGATTTTTTAATTTATTTTTTAACTAAAGAATCATTTGTACTAAACCGATGGCAATGTATGATAACAGCTTATATTTACTTTATATTAGACAGCAAGTTACCCTGTTTATAACCTCAAAGTATCTTCTGAACAGGTCTAAATGCATTATTAATACTGTAGAAAAAGCAGACTCATTAGGCCAGCATATTTATATACATTTTACAAAAACAATAAAGCTATTACATATCATGTACAGAAAACAATATCATTTTGTCACAAATAAAATAAAGTATTTTTTCAGACTGAGGTAAAACATGTTTTACAATTATATATACACAATAGTATACAGAAAATTTGTACATTTTATTTTGTTATTAAATATCAAAAAGAAATCCAGTTTATAAAAGTGAAACCTTTCATAATGGACAATTGCTTTCACAATAGTGTGTTTAAAAAACATAATTGTTAACTGTACCACCCAGCCCTCCTCAACTGCTGGGCCTAAATGTTGCCATCGAGCCAGATAGCTCATTGTGCACCCCCATATTTTCCAGATTTTGTGTTGCCTCCTGCTGACCCAAATGCTGCATGCAGCATTTATGGATTGGTAAAGCATAACAATACATCTCATTCTCTGAGCATGCATGGAGTGCTACCCAGTCCTGCATCTGACACCCATGTATAGACAAGGGCTCAGTAACTATATTCTACTGCAAAAGTCCAACGTTTTATATAGGCACCCCTGCACAGGAAGCTGTAAATACCCTACTTACCCTTACTAAGAACCCCCCACCCCCCAAACCACTATCTAAACCATTGTTAAAGAAAGGAGACACACAGTACCTCTCTGCATGGCTCAGTCCTGGGCAAAAAAGGATGTACCCAGGGAGAGACTTGTAGATAATTATAGCTATAGAAAAAAAAAGTTAACGGATAGAGAACTCAATCAAAAAGTGATATTTTATTCTAAATAACATCAATTGGGCTGAATCTTTTGAAGGGTACTTTGTTGAGCTCTCCCTTCCACAGTTTCTGTTACTGAAGGCTCTCCTCTTGCTACAAGAGGAGTGATAGTGGGTGTTCCTAATCATCCTTTCTGGAATTTGTCAAGTTGACAAAGGCAACAACCCCCACTTTTACATTGCTCCGCTTTTATAGAACATGCTTGTATATGCATCTATATCAGATCATCCAGACATATATGTATCTTTCTAAGATTTCCCATTGTGGAATGTTTTTTTTGCAAAAAATCAGATAGCAAATGGAGTGTCATACTGCTATGTTAAATCGAGGAGGATTTGGCATATTTAACCCTTTGGTAGCATCCAGTTGGTCATACTCTTCTATTAAAGAGGATAACGATGTCAGAGCTTCTGAAAAACAGCTTTGTTCCATGCCATCAACTTGTAGGTAATGGTGGAGATGAGCCTGCAAAGATGAAAATTTTTACCAGCAATGAACCCTGTATAACTATGTTTAAAGAATGAAAACATATTTTAATATACTGTATGTCTATTATACAAGGTATGCATTTTGCACTAAAACTTTAAATATATAGACACAACATATTCTACCAAGACTAAGGGGGTTATTCACTTAGCTGCCGAACACTGTTCGGCTATTCACTTCAGTCTGGTATGGCTGATTTCACCGGTACATTGGCTAAAATCAGCCGTACATCGGCTGCCTTCAGTCAGCCGAATATGCGCTGCATGTTCGACTGAGCCGAAGTGCACAAAGAGTTCGACTCAGCCGATCCAACATCTGGATCGGCTGAGCCGAAGCTCCAGCAGCTCACTCGCTGTCGTTTGCCCCTATTCTCATGGGGGCTGAACGGCAGTAAGTGAACAGCCGAATGCCTCCGAGAGACATTCGTCTCGGCTATTCTGCTCAGTACCTCGGAACCGAAGGGCAGAGGCGGCCGAAGGATCAGCCGAAGCTATGTCTGGATCCTTCAGCTCTTTAGTGAATGACCATTTAACATTCCCAGAACTCTCTCACACAGCATATAAAAGGGAAAAAAAAAAGGGGGCTGACAAACATACCTTCTTTCTGTACAACCTATTAAACCTGTCTCTGAGGTCTATAAATGTTGGCTTAACACATGTATTATTGGCTAGTGCCAGCAATGAGTGGGGATGGCCAACTGGTGGGACAGAACACATCCCAGTCTTCCATCCTTCTTGGTTCCAAGAGACAAACTGTAGCGACGGTTTCAGCCTAAAAAATTAAATTTAATAAACAAGATTTTTAAAATCAAAACCCAAGTACTGCAACACATAGTCTAATTATATGTCCCTGGGTTTATGAGAAAAAACATACAATTAAATAGCTCCTAAAAAAAATATAAGGGAATAACCTGCAACCCAAGGCCCTGCGTACTTTGATTGTCTTGTGGATGAAAAAAAAGGATGTGCATCCAATAAAAACTAGTCAGTAGGTTTTGTATAGATTGCCAGAAGGGCCAACATTTTTTTCCTTTCAATTATGTCAAGCAAGTCTTCAACATTTATGAAGAACAATCGGCAGATCCTTTAGATGGCAATTAGAGGCACAGAATCACTGGATAAATTTATGTAAACGCATAAGTATATAGAGCCATGCTAATGCAGTTCATTTTGTATAGTGACCAAACCAGTCATTTGCTTTTTTTTTAAAGCATTTTTTACCTCTTGGTGAGTCTTTATTCTGCGAACACGCTATTGCAGAGCATTTCTTCATATATTCTTCCAACTCACAGACAGGGAAGTAAGGGCCCCTTTTGTTTATTCTGCATCTTAAAAGGCTGTGTAGTGCCAGTCGGCTGCAGCTTGACAGTGAGGCTCTGGTTGGGAGCCGCTGTCAATCAAGGCAGGGTTGGCCAGGAGGCTTGGCCGGTAAACAGTCTTTTGTACTTTGCAAAGCCCTTCCATGTGGACCTTTTAAAAGCTAGTTATACATTGATTGGTGTGGTTGCCATTTCTCTTTAGCATCATTCCAGATCTCAAGTGTTATTTCACCTGTGCACTCACTGCATTCCATGTCATCTGCCTCTCTCCTACTTTATTAAAAAAAAATTTACTCTTTCCCATCTCAGCTCTCTAACGACTTCCCTTCCTCCCACATGTGGGAGACTGACCTGGGTCAATTATTCTTGGTGCTTAAGGCTCCCTTAACCTCTTGCCGTTCGCCCGTAGTAAAAAAACGGACGGACGGCACTGCTGCATCTGCGGGTTGCCGTCTCCAGACGGCAATTTTTTTCTGCTCGCGCGCGCCCCCTAGCGGGCACGCACGGGCAGAAAAGACCCGACCAATGCACACACCCGTTACCGGGTGTTACACATATAGGCGATCAGCGGGTCCATAGCCCGCCGATCGCCTATATGTGCTCGTTCGCGGCACCCCCCCCCGCCCCCCCAGATCTCTGCTTTATCAGCTTCTTTTGGGGTCCATAGGTGATATTAGGGGTCCTAGAGACCCCTAATATCTCCATAAAGAGGACCTGTCAGTGTGCCTTTGCTATTATATAGGGGGTTGTTATCCCCCTATAGTGGTACTCCACTAATTCTCCCAAAATATATCCAATATATGTTGGAGATGCCAGGGAGACCAAGGTAAATTCTTCCACATATGGCGAGTACACAAATGAGAGTACTCATTACCAATTAAGCTCTAAATGTCCAACCTGATCTAGTTTCTCCTTCACTACTCTGATCTCTTACTAAAACAAACAAATCTCCCCATCTCTTTACTATCCAGTAATGGCTTTCTTGCGTCAATACCGTCGCTGAATTAGAAGAGCTGATTCATTTAAGCCATGATAACATGAAAGACCTGTCCACTGCCACATACACAAACCTCCTAAACCTGACAGGACCTTAAGCCTCTCCATGAAACACTGCAGACTTGACATTTTGACTGACCCTTGCTCTTGGACACCTAAGCCTCCCTCCTGGAGGGATGAGGAACTACACAATGGGGATCTCCAGGGATGCTATAGGCCGCATCGTTTCACTTTCTACCCAAACTATGACATATCCCTTTCCCATCCCACAGCCCCCCTATTCACCTCAGAACCCTCCCATCCCCCCATGCCTCTCTCTCTCCCTTCCCTCCTACATGCAAAATCCCCGACCCACCCCAAGGACCCAGCTTTGTCCACTTGGATGACTAATTTTAGACTAGCAGCAGGAGGGAAACCATGTATATATGCTCTGATCTTTTTTTGTAGTTGCCTTGTTTCTGTTTTTAGTAAATCTACCAAGTCCTAGGTGCAGGATGCTTGTTTATTGGAAGATTTAAGCCTCACTTCACCTCAGTCTGCAACTGCTTACATTCTTTGATTCTGACTTTCTTGTATTCCCCAAACCTTTTCTAGTTCCCACCCCTTGTTTGAATTATTTTTTCAATTTACAATATTCTTATTGTGCTATGTCTTCACACTGTCAGAACCCTTTGTTATACCTTGTTATGGAAAAAGCTTTTATAACAATTACCTGCGGCAAAAAGTACAGAGTCCAGTATAAATACCAAGCAAACAGAACAATGTGGTGTAGCAATCAATTATATTTTATCTTTCAGGGGTTCACAATAGTTAAACTTGATTTCTTGTTGCTTGCTCTGGGTTACTGCACTGTGTGCTCAATAAATAAAGATCACTGTATCAGACAAACTCCTCTAAGAAAAATGCCTGCTCATTTGTGAGATGTACATTCACGCCTTCATGTGAATTCTAATTAAGGTTTGGCTTTAGCCACAGAAAAAAACCTTACTGTTTTATGTCCAGCTTTCCTGAGCTCTTTAGTAAGCTACACTGTTTTTGCAGATGACTCAAAGACAGCAACTATGTCAAAGCTTGTCCTCCTAAGTTTTAGAAAACCTGCACTGGGTTTAAGACAGAGGAAAAGCCAATGAGAAGCATTAAAAAACGCTTCTGGCTTGGTTTGGCTGGTCTTATTGTATATATGGCTTTACCTGTATTTCTTGAGTTTACGGAAATGTCTTCTTTAAAAAGCAAAAAGAAGAGAGGGCTGAACAAATTAAGGAAAATCTTTGCCTTTTTTGAGCTTTAATATGGTGAAAAATGGATGTATATGTTCTTTTCTGTTGGCTCCTAAGTAAGTCTGACACAAAATACATTAACAAAATGTCTACGTGATTAGGTCCTTTATGCGTTATACACCAATAAACTATTCTTTTTTTGGAGGCGTACTCTCTTATTTGATACCAAGATGGAGACTGTCATAGTTTAGTTAGGACCGCACTATATAGAGGTGCCTTGACATGGCTGTGCGGCTTTCACATTTTCTGCAGAAGACGTGTATCTAAACCTCTGCTTTTAACCTTAGTGGTTAGACAGGTTTTTTTGCATGCTGGCTGGTGAGTGTGCCTGGAAACTTTTTGTGTAACAATATTTTTATTGAAATTTTTCAAATACAACATTAGAAAGATAGTGGTTCACAGTGCATCAGTATATTGGTTCTTCTGTATAATCAAAGATTCAGAGATGCTAAATGAACATATGAATCTTGATAATACATCAGTACATTGGGAAGGCCCATTCCCCCATCGATCTTCCGTTTGTATAAAGTAGTTCTCGCCACCCTGGCCCTGAAAGGGTGCCAGATAAACTGGAGGATACTCCGCTGCATCGAGCGCAAAGCATATGAGGGAACCTGTACCGGCAGGGTTCTGAAGTGATACAAGAGTTTGGGTACTAGCGTCATCTTAACGGCTGAAATTTTTCCCAACCAGGACAGATTATGGGTTGTCCATGAGGCGAGCAATTGTTTCAGTGATTTAAATAGTGGGACATAATTTGCCTGGAAACTTTTTGATGTTTTACTGTTTGACGCCCTTCCGTGTGCACCTTGCTTTAAAGCTGGTAACTAATTGATGAGTGCGTTTGCCATTTGTTTTCCTAAGTAAGTCTGACGCAAAATACATTAACAAAATGTCTACGTGATTAGGTCCTTTATGCGTTATACACCAATAAACTATTATTTTTTTTGGAGGCGTACTCTCTTTTTTGATACCAACCTTTCAATATTTCTACGAAGGTCTGAAATGTGGACGTTTCCTCTCACCATCAAAGCACAGGCAAGGTAAAGATTATGCTTCGGGTCTGCTCGAATTAATTGGTGATCTTTGTTAAAAGCATCGGAGAACATTTGGTCTAATCTGTGCAAAAGTAACATGCCATGAATGTAAACTCAGCATTGTATTGCATAATCAAATGAAGGCAGAGAAACAATTTGTAAACATTAATTTAACAAGTTCCCTTATAGCCGTGCCCTCTAACAAATATTTCCAATGTACAACTGTTTTGTGCTGTCTCTCCTGCATTATAGAGGACTCATATGGCATATAAATTTGTAAATAAAGAGCCTGCTTAAGAGAAAATAATGAGGCGGGAAGAAAATCTTAGGTACTGCCTAAAATCATCATCATTACTACAACAGGTATTTATAATAATACAATCTCCAATTTTATAAGTAATTTTAAATTTGGGTAACAAACAACCAGAATCCTAAAATTGTATTGCTTAATGATAATCTCCTCAAAAGTATTTTTCCAATATGTGATCTATACCAATTTTGTAACATTTGGCTTTGCCTTCAAAAGTCTGACTTCCAGTATGAGCTTTTACAGCTGCTGCCTAGTGATTGCTAGAGAGCTGTGATATGAGTGAGGGGGCAATAAAGAACTTACACCAACTGCTATACACAGGTACTGTTAGATGGGGTAGAAAGAGCAATTTAACAGCCCTAGGGTAAGAGCTCTCACCTTCGTGTAGGTATATTCACATCAGCAAGTGTATATAAAGGAGTTAAGCTGGAGGTCAAATAGTGCAAATGAGGAAATGGGACCAAGTTCATGGTGATCTCATTCAGATCCATATTAAGTGGCCCTTCAAATCTTGCAGAGCTGAGAAAAAAAAAATACATTTACGTGCAATTTGTCTTCTCATTCAGCTATTGTGCTTTACATGCTTTACATTTAAGGTGGGCAAATTCATTAGCAATTCTGCATGAATATTTTTTTCTTTTTTTCTTCTTTTCTCAATGATGTTTTTGTGCATGGCATTTATATATGTAGACTAGAGGAGGTGATCCACAGAATTAAAGAAAAACAAAACAAAACCGTACATTGTTTATGATTTACCTTAAAAGTGGTAATTTACGTGGATCTAAATCCAGCAAATGAAAGTGTGTTATATATTGCAGCTTACCAGTTCTCAGACTTGGTGGCAGCATTCGTTTTCTTTTTTTCCAAGCTTATTTTCCCCTCTTTATTTTACCTGTTGATTCTGTCAGTAATACCCTTTCTGTCCTAGGGTGGCAACACTCACTACTGTATCTATGGAGAAGCAGCACTGTCACCCTAGAACAGAACACCTTATCCTGTCCTTGTCCCCAAAGCTTTGGGGTGGGGGCTTACTATAGTACAGAGAACTGAATTGGACAAGGCTGATTACACCATCTGAGATGAGACTTCAGATTATACAGGGCAGCATTGCATTTCTGGTAGGATCAACAGGTAGTTTTTGCACTTACTAAACAAATATAACAAAATACATTTTAGTGGTATATTTAAAAGACCAAAGGGAAGCAAATGAGAATTTCACTGTTAGGCATAACGTGCAATACAAGAGATGTACTTAATTCTTTGTTTACACCCAGGGGTTCATTTATAAAAGTTCTATTCATATATTCGTCAGCACCGTAAACAACATCTGCCCAGCTATACACCAGGCGGAACATTTATAAATGAACTCCTTATTAATAGAAAATAATAAAAAGACTTAAGGAGATTACCTAGTAACATTTAAAAGCAGGTTTGCTACAATGTTGTTCATGGCATCAAATGGTTTCTCAGCTTCTTTTACACCACCTTTATTGGAAGTCAGAAGACTATTTGGCTTTACACTTCCAAGCTTTCCAGAATTTGACATCTGAACAATTTTGTTAACGATGTCAACTAATGACTTAAGCATGAAGAAAACAAAACAGAATATTACCAACATTTCAGCAAAAACATCAGTAAATTTAGAAAAAGAGACAACAGTTTATAATCAGGTCATCATCATAACATGTTATGTTGGATAAAATAATATAATCTATAAGGTTATCAAATTATAAGAATGAATGGGCTGCACTTCAACTAGAACAATCAAATACAAATTAAAAATCAAACAAATCTCTATAATAAATATGCTCTAAACAATACATTTAGAGGGTAAAACTGATAGTGCTTGCAGCTACACAGGGATTGGCGCGGGGTGCTAATTGTCATTTAAATTTCCAGGTTATACCTTTGTCTCATGAATGGATCAGGAGCAATGACTGCAAAGTGCAGTAAATCATATTGCATCAGTTTAGTGAGCTCACAGTGAAAAAGAGATTACCCACTGCCAACAATGAAAGGAGACTACCGAATGCCAACAATGAAAGGAAATGTGCTTAACAGTAGCAGAAGACAGTAGCTTTTCTGCATTAATATCCCAAGGAGGATTGTCATCCCTGTACAAGTCTATTCTATTTGTCTATCATCCATTGAGGGACACAGCTCTGAAAAATTCTGAGACATTCAACAGAGGGGCACGCACCATAAAACTAGAAGAACCAGCTTAAAGAACTTTTTTTTCTCAACCCTTGCTGTAGAGGTACCCACGCACTGCAAGGGTTAACTGCTCGTTTTTGTCTAGGTGCTAAAAAACAAACAAAAAAACCCAACAAAAGTTATACTCACCCAAACGGCTGTGCCGACTTCCTGTTTCTCCGGTCACTAAAGGGGTGTCTCTCCTCCGCTGCACAGATGGAATGCTCTTCAGCGTCCTCACATCTATACACTTGAATAAAACGTGATGACACATGGATTCTTAGAGCGCTGCAGAGGAAGGGGAGAGAGGTTCTAGGTTCTTGCTCTTAGACCAAAGAGCAAGCCGGCTCGATTGATCAGGCGAGTATAACTTTTTCTTCTTTTTTAGTACCTAGACACAAACAAGCAGTTAACCCTTGCATAGCCTCGCTGCAAGGGTTAATACAATTTTTCGCAGAGTTTTTCTTTAAATACTCAAACAGTCGTATGAAGAACTTCTCTGCCAAAACTAGCATCAGAAACATCAACTTTATAAAACTTAGGGGGTTATTCACTAAGCTGCCTAAAGCGTTCGGCTGACCTGAAGTGAAGAACACGTTTGCCTCAGCTGATCCAACATCTGAATCGCCTGAGGTGAGCGCTTGGCAGATCACTCACTGCTATTCACACCTATTCTCATAGGGGCCCAACAGCAGGGAGTGAATAGCCTTGCAGCTCATGGCTCGGTTATTCTGCTCGCTACCTCAGAGATAGAGGGCAGAATAAAAAAAAAAGTAAACAAAGAAAATAAAGAACAAAAAAATAGCGTTGGGTCCCCCTTCCAAACCATACCAGACCATTTAGGTTTGGTAGGAATGTTTTTGTTATAACTCAGGGATCCCTGAGTTATAACAAAAAAAAAAAATAAATAATGCGTGGTTTTCAACCCCAAAAGTCATACCAGGCCCTTTAGGTCTGGTAGACATTTTAAGGGTGAAACCCACTAACAAAAAAATAAATAATAAATAAAAAAAAAAAAATTGGCAAAAAGTGGGGGTTCCCCCCTAAAATTCT